TGAACCCTGTCTCAAACCTGTGTCATCTTCACCTCTGTACATGAGTCCATCTCTCTGGGAGTCTTCCTCTCCTTTGCTGACCCTCCACCTTTGCAAGAAATAGCCTCTCCTACCAACATGCCCATGTGAGATGAAGCTGGCTTTGGGGCCTCTGGCTTGAAGCAGAGCTCCAACAAAATGGCAGTTGAGTCTTCCTCCCTCCTGGCTTTGGGTCATGAGTCTGAGAACAACTTCATGGCAACTAACCACACACACACACACATTCTCTCTTTTTAAAATGAATTACGCTAAAATGAATCAGTTCAACCTAACCAAAGTACAAAAGTATTACAAAAAACCGGGTCAGAATCAGGTAGTGTGATTAGCAAAATATTTTCGATCTTTGCTTCACAATTTTATTGTCGGGTTAGGATTTTAGCTCTGCCACAGCTGAAGATGCATTGCCCTTCATTTGCTGGTTTTTCCCAAGTAAAGGTACTTCTGCCTCTACCACACCACTCACCCCACTGGGCAGTCATTGAAAGTGTGTTGTGTGCTGGATACTTTCACTACTGGATGAACAGAGTAAACTGAACAACTGACAGAGGCAAGAACTCTAGAGGGTGGTTTGAGCAAGGACAAACTAGAACAAGACTATGTGCAGTCCATTTAACATCTCCAAATTTTATTGCCCATTTTATCCCAGTAGTATTTCTGTGAAGTGATAAAGACACACCACCACAGCAACTTTTAGCTGACAAACATCCTGGAATACTGATTTGTTGGGGTATTTGGTGTGGTGGTCCTCCGGAAAGGCTCTGATAGGCAAGCCTAATATCTGATCCTTGTATCAGTTTCACGGTTCCAAAGAGAAACATACTTGAAGCATCCTATTTTAGCCTGGGGAGGTGGGATGACAAGCTGACCCAAGTGTTGGGTTCTGTACTCTCCAGTCACACCATACTTAACTGAGCCTGGTGACTTGGCATCAGCTGAGATGAGGTGGTCCACAGCATAAATCAAGTTATCTGCAATATATATTCTGGCTTAATAGGTGGCCTAATGGGTAAGAGCTGTGCTACCAAAATGTGAAGGCAGGTAGTTCAATCTACCAGCTGCTTATTGGAAGATGGGCAATCTCTTCTGATGCAATTTACAGCTTTGCAAAATCTACTAGGTGAGTGATGAGTCAGTTCCAACTCAACGACAGCACATAATCTTTAAGTAGGAATGGATGGATTTCAAGAGAGGAAAGGCACTGACTAGGACCTTCATCATCCCAATGATGCCATCTTCAATTATGGGTTACTATCACCCCACCCAAAGAGCCCCCAAAAAAGCCCAAAGAGGATTCTTGTAGAAGTTGCCAACTCCTATTTGAACTCTGTCTTGTATTTGACTGTACTTAGACCGTCTTATTTCCTTGAGTTATACAGACCTTAAAATCTACATGAAGCTGTTTGATGTCAATCTGAACCTATTATCAACAGGTTAGTCTTTTGGTCTTCCCAGGTAGATCACTCAAAATTCTAATTCCATGAAGGATTACATTATAAGGTGGTCAGAAAAACTTAAATTCTAGTAAATTTTCATTACCACAGGCCTGAAGAATATAAAGGACATTGGCTGTGGAAAGACCTTCCATTTGTTCTCATGATCTTCAACTGAAACTAGGGAGCGGACACAAACTCAAGTCAGTCAAAATCTATAATACAGATACCCTAGCTGAATGAGCAGTGGAAGGACAAGGACTCTGAAGCCAAATGAAGCTGGGCTCAAATCCCAGCTCAGCCACTTAGATTAAGTGATCTATCTTGGACAAGGTACAAAACCTTCTTGGTTCTCTCAGCCAATAGTACAACAGCAAATAGCTATTATGAAGCACCACAGAAGAAAACTTGGTCCTAATGCTCCTCTACCCAGATGGCAGAGGAACTCAGGAGAGAACAGTCCAATTCATTTGAATAACTTGAGCATAAGCTGGGGATAATAATGGAAGGAGATGTCCCAAAATGTGAGAAAGAAAAACATGGAATTACAGAGACACAGTGGCAATTAGAGTAAAAATGGGAAGGGGAAAAAACAGCTGACGAGGTCAGAATCACAGTTTAAGATGTGGCTACTTTTATGCCAGATACTCTTAACCAATCTGACATGTGACAACTTCCTGTTTATCTACTTATTCCTTCTACCTACTCAACCTCTTCTCCACCCTCAGGGCTTAAGTGATGAGAGTCATCCTTGGCACATTCAGAAGAGCAACACGATGACTTATGTAGACAATGTGTATATGGCAAAGCAGAAGAAATTGCCCCTTCTTTTCTTGTTTGGAACCCAAACTATAACACGGTAGACAGAGAAGACACCAGCACGTTTGAGTGAAATGTTTACATTTATATTGAAATATGCACTAAAACAGACTGAGTTCTACTAGTCAATGGAACTTTGCCAAAGCAGAATCACAAACTTCCGTTGAGGAGGTACAGTCAGCTAGCAGCAGTGATCCCCAAGCAGGAACACCAAGGAGAAGCCCAGGGGACCCCTCTCCAAAAAGCCTCATTTCAAGAGGCCCCAACTCACTTCTCCCACATGCACCCACACAGACTCAGGAGCTTGGACATGCTCCTGATTTTCATATATTTAGTTTCTTCTTCGCTGCAATAAATATAAAATTGGCAATGCTCATACACCACAGCACAGACAATATTTCAGGCTTTAGCATACAACTGTAAACAATGACTAGGTAAAAAATTAAAAGGAAAAGAGCTGTTTTATTTTTTAAACTGTAAGACAGAATTCTTAGGCTACTCAATATTTGTTAAGGTTTTTGACAGACTGGTGTTTAGATAGAGGCCCTCAGCAGTGCCAAGCCTCAAGGTGGCAGCCAAAGCACTGCCTGCGGCAATGCAGATTGTGTGGGCTGCAAGCAATCTGTTCAAGATCACACTGGGCAGTAGCGTATCTCTAACCTGTCACATCCAAGATGTGAAAGCAGACATTTTTAGAGTTCCATCACTGGCTGGTTGCCAGCTAATGTAGTGGAAATGGGTGGGCAAATGAAAATTTGCTGGCAGAGAAAAATAATGGGATCTCTGCGAGCTGCCTGGAAAGTTGGCCCCAAAATCACAATGACAACTAGGACATTTCACTTGGACAGTGATTATTATTTTTTTTTTAAAGGGTTCACAGAGAGAAGTCCAAAGACTAAACAGTAAGTTCTGTTGCTAGTGCAATTTGGGATGCCTAAAGCAACGCAAAGAAAGCTGGTAAGAAGTCAAGTGGACTCAACAGCACAGGAGCCAATGGGGCAGGCAGGATTTTATTTAAAAGATTAGTGGCTAAAATACTATTGCTCGAATAGCCTTGAGATAAAATGTAGTAACATCTGAGATTTATACACAGAAGCAAAGGAGCTGAAGGCCAACTCACAAAGGGATAGGTGAAGCTCAGTAAGAGAAGCTAAAAGCACATGCTGTAGGAGTAACCTAATGAGCTTACTTTCCTACCATCTCACACAGAAAGAGATCTGGATAGGAAAGTGTCTTTTCACACAAAAAGTTCTAGCTTAGTTTATTCTCCTCCCTAGAACTATGCCTCAGTCAGGGGTGGGAAGGCAGGAGAAGTCTTGGAAAATTCAAGAACTGGGCTACCAAAAAGAAAAAGGGCATTTCAATATAGTAAACTAGTACACACCATGTGTATTTTGCTTTGTTAATAAAAACATGATACATCAGGAAGTGTGTATAAAAAGCAAAAAATCCTAGAAAGACACACCAAGAAAAAAATAATTAGCCCAAGTCCTGAGTCTGAGCACAAATCAGTCTAGTCCACCCTCTCGCCAACATATAAAAGCACTGCCACTTGCCTTGCAAGCAGAACCTAAACCATATGCCTTCGTTATTAAACTTGAGCATTAAGTACAATCACTGCAGAGTACATGTGATGGAATACTTCAATACCTACCCGATCCAGTTTAAAACATCTGTTGGCTGATCCAGTTTGAATGTATTCCATAGGTATATTTAACAACAATCCACACATCCTCCATTATTTTTTAAAATGGCAATTCTTGTATCTCAAGCAAACTATTAGAGTTTTCTTCTAAGAAATTCCTAGATGGTAGGAACACATTACTGAGAAATCCTAAAGGTGAAACAAACCCATTTCTTCTGACTAAAATGATGGGATAAAGGTAGAACATTTGTTCTAAAGATAGCTTCATTTGTTTCCCCATGGGAAAAGGCCAACTTTTTTTTTTTTTAGTTGCGTGAAAGGCCAACTTTTATTTTTAGTGATATATTTTAAAAATTAACCTAATTAAAAAAATAAAATATACATCATGAGATACTGTAAGACTTGAAATAAAGGAGGCCTCATGGAGTAAAAAACAAAAGAGTTCTGACCCTCATCCCCCTAAACAGGGGAAAGTGTGACAGGATTTAAGGGGGAAATATCAACCAAACCAGAACTCTGACTATGGGCAGCACTACACAGACTCGACAGCACAGAACACCATACAAGAATGAGTTACATATTAGCAATAGCATCATGAGAATGAACGGATGGGGACTTATATATATGCCCAATTACAGAGCTCCTAGGTCAAATGTGTTAAAAGCTTGTAATGTCAACAAGGATTTTAAAAAAGGGAGAGGAGGAAAGGCTGCATGCATGGGTATATTATAGACATGGTCTTCAGCAGCATAAAAATAAAACCCTCCAATGGGTCCCCAAGTGGGCAAAACTTGTTTTTCACTGCTAAGCAGAAGGAAGATTAAGAGTGGAGCAACTTTTACTAGTATCTCCTGCATCTGAATGACAAGTCTGTTTAATCTTATATATATAAGAAAACCTTGAAAATACATGAGTAAAGCAAAATAAAGACAAAATGCTGTAATATAAACTTTAACTGGAAAAAATACAACACCTGTTTTAAAGCCAAATGGATGGGATTCTGGTAATTATTATACACAACATAATCCACAGAAAAAGGCAGGCCAAAAAAAAAGAAGCTTCATAACTGAAAATTCAATGAATTTGTCACACAAACAACTAGAAGTCCCCTTCTGGTTTCAAATTAAGTTAACAATCTTCCTTGGCTAATTTTTTTCTCTCGTGTAAAACAAACCTTCTATGCACAGGATCAGTTTAAATCCCTCCTCCCTTTCAAACACTAGAAAGAACATCCAGGAACATTCTACAATGCAAAGTGCCATTAAGAAAGAGAAGGATTCTGCAGAGCCAGTGATGTAACCGAGCTGAAGAAGCTGAGATGGTGTTAACACTGACGCGAGCCAGTCAGGCAATGGTGGTCTGCTTCTCCTCAGGTGTCTCCTCCAACAACTGCATGATCAGTTCGTGGAGAGGTTTGCAGATCTTTGCATAGCCTCCTCCTGTGAGATGCAGAAAATCGAACATGTCGTGGCAGGAGATGGCACCGTCCGAGTGCACAAAGCCTCCATCTGTATCCAGGAGCTGGACATTCGCAAGCTTCGGCAGGGACACCTTGAGAAGCTGGTTCACCTTGGCATTCTTCTGCCTCAAGGGATTGGGCTTCTCACCTCGAGGTAACAAACCCTGGGGTAGAGGAAAGACCATAAAATGAAAAGAGTTGCTTGTGTTTCACTATACATTTGTGACATTTATGATTTTAGATATTCCTGAATCCACTGCTATCCCTGACACCTTCTATTCGTTTCTGAAATAATACACCGGTTTTGTGGGTTTTTAAAAATTTACTGTGATTTTAAAAAAAGTTTACCAAAAAAGTTGGATTTTTCCGTCATTCATTTTTGCACATTTTCTTCCCTATCCCCTCCAACTGCTCACTTTAAAAAAAAATTCATTCATGATTGCATAATTTCCTCCCCCACCTACTTTATTATGCACCTCTTATTCTGGACTGTTGTAATACAAATAATGCTTAATCATATACTCCTTTTAAAAATTCTTTCCTTCATCTGTTCCAATGCAGAATTATTTATCCCCTCATTTCCGCCTAACCTCCATGCCAGTCGTTTTAGAACAGTTGCATTATGCAGTATTTGTCCTTTTGTGACAGATATTTCCCTCAGCATAATGTCCTCCAGGTTCACCCATGTTGTGTCATATTTTTAGTTCCTTATTTTTTAGTGCTGCATAGTATTCCACTGTGTGAATATACCATAGTTTTTCTATCCATTCATTTTTTAATGGACACTTGAGTTGCTTCCAGCTCTTCGCTATTGTGAATAAGGCAGCAATAAACATGGTGTGCAAGTATCTGTTTGAGTGGCAGCTCTAGTTTCTTTAGGGTATATTCCCAGTACTGGAATTGCTAAGTCAAATGGTATTTCTATTCCAACATTTTGAGAAAGTGCCATATTGCCTTCCATGGTGGTTGCAGCGTTTTACACTCCCACAAACAGTGAATAAGGGTTCTATAATCTCTCCACAATCTCACCAGCATTTGTTAGTTACTCTATTGACTTTGCTATTGATAACGGAGTGAGAGGGTTACTTCATAAACTTTGCATCTGAGAGTTGGGATTTTGAACATCTCCTCATGTGTTTGTCATCTGCATGTCTTTCCTGGTGAAGTGTCTATTCATATCTTGTGCCCATTTTGCGACTGGGCTGTTTACCTTTTTCTTGTTGAGGTGCTGGAGTAGTCTATAAATATTAGAAATGAGTACCTTATCAGATACATCATTACCAAATTTTCCCCCCCAGTCTGTGGGTTTCCTTTTTACCTTGTTGGAGAAGTTTTTTGATGTGCATAGGGATTTGATTCTTAGAAGGTCCCATTCATCTATTTTATTCTCTTCTGGTTGTAGGATGTTCAAGATGCTTGGAAGAATGTTCATATTGTGAATTAGGGCTAGAATTATTCCAAGCTTTTCTTCTGACCAAGTTTATAGTCTTTGGTTTTAGTTCTAGGTCCCTGATATACTTTGAGTTGGTTTCTGTGTATGGTGTGAGGCGTGGGTCTTGCGTTTCCTACAGAAAGTTTTCAAATTTTGCCAACACCATTTGTTAAAAAAGGTTTTCATTTCCCCACTTAACTGATTTCATCCCCTTGTCAAAAATCAGTTGATTATAGATAGATGAGCTGATTTCTGGATTCTTAATTCAACTCCACTGATCTATGTGTCTGTCATTGTGCCAGTACCATGCTGTCTTGACTACCATGGCTGTGTATTAGGATTTGAAATCAGTGAGATGCCTCCTGCCTTATATTTTTCAGGAGTTCTTTACTTATTTGGGGTCTCCTTCCCTTCCAAATGAAAGTGCAAATTGCCTTTTCCATCTCGTTGAAGAATGGAATAGGAATCTGTCTTGGGATTGCCTTTGATAGAACTGTCATTTTCACAATATTGAGTCTTCCTATCCATGAGCATTATATATTCTTCCATTTCTCCAAGTCTCTTTTTATAGTGTTTGCAATTTTCTTTGAATAGGTACTAGACTCGTCTTAATGAAAGCTCTCTGACCACTCTTATTCAGTTTTTTTCATAAGATCTTTTCCTCCTCCTGTCTCTTCAGTATGGGAATTCTCCAGGTCTTGCTCTTGGTGCACTGGTCTTCCTACTTTAACATGTTAGCCCAGATCTCTTCCTATAGCTTCAGAACTGCATACTGAACTGACAAGAAAACTAAGCCAGAATGTTCTGAGGCACTTCCATATTACTGTGTACAAAGGCAAATCACATCACCTTCTCCCTAAACTATATTCCTTCTACAATCTCCTCAGAAGTGACAATGGAGAGACTGTCTCATATGGTTTGGACATGCATATTACCAAGTCCTTGGAGAAGGATATCATGACCGGTAAAGTAGAGGGTGAGTGAAAAAGAAGATGAGGCTCAACTCGCTGGACTGACAACACTGCAACACTGGGCTCAAGCAGAGCAGCAACTGTGAGCATGGTGCAGAATGAGGCAATGTTCTCTTTTACTGCACATAGGAGAGGGAGGGAGAAGAGCCAACTAACAACAACAAACAAGGACAAATGGACGAAAGACTGGGAGGCATCAGAGAAGGACCAGCACATAAAGATTTTAAAAGAAATATCATAAACTGCTTCCATACCAAGTTTGTTTCTACTCTTAAGTGAACACATTTCTAAGATAGCTGAGCTGACCTAAAGATATTAAGCTCTTCACATATCCAAAGGCTGCATACCAATACAATGATCTTGGCTTGTGGCTGCCTTGTGTTGATAAGTTGTACAATGGCCTCAATACCACCAGCTACCTCTTCTGCTGTATTTTCATGGTTGTTTGTTCCTACCCAGACAACAATGACCTATAGTTGAGAAAAGGGGAAAAAGATGAATACAAGAAGAAAGGCAACTTCACATCAATATTTAGGGTGGAAATCTTAAAGATAAATTCAACTACATACAAACAGAATCATCAGTATTTTTATTTTATTTTATTATTTTTTTGTGTGTACCATCCAATCAGATCTCACTGGTACAGGAGGAGACTGTCCCTCCTTCTCCAGCAGAGTATCTGGTGGATTTGAACCACGCCCCTCTCAGATTACAGTGCAGCTTCCTGCCACTGGGCCACCAGAGCTCCCTATAAGCATATTTTTAAAAAAAATTTAAGGAACTTAGAGAAACCTATATTGTAAATAAAACTTAATGTCCCTGACTAAAAGCATCTTCTAGAAAAAATAAAAATGCTCAAAGGGGTGGAATAGGTGTAAATAAACAGCTGCACAATAGGAAAAGAATTACTAGGGTCAGATTGGATGCAGTTTTAAAGAGCTTTTCTTCTAAAAGGTGTCACTTAGAGGCAGATATCTCACTGGGTGATCCAACAAAGTCAATGTTTAATCTGTCCCAAAGGAGAGGCAAATGAATGAGTTTTTCTATTAGAAAGGTAAAGAATAAAATGCTTTCTGTTAAGTCTATTTTTTTTATTACTTGTTCAGCTTTTGGCTTGTCTTTGGGGTTGAACAAAATTATATGCAGTGTCCCGAAGCGATTATAATATAAGGTAGATCTCATGCTGAACATAGTCATATTCTATTCATATCTGTTTCAGTTCTCATCAGAAAAATTTGGAGGTCTTCCGTACCAATTTGTTAATTTACAATTAAACAGGTTCAAAACTACTTTCTGAAGTTGGTAACAGCCCTGCCCTCAGGGCCCACCTCTACTAGTTTCCCGTCATACTCTCCTCTGAGCACATGTGACCTAGAGCAGCATACCTCTTTTTACAACTGAAAAAAGGTAATTATAGCAATAAAGATTAAACCTATATTAATACACTGATTTCTTAACTGAATATGTCATTTGCTCTTAAGCAATGACAGTATCATTTATCTTACAGAGACATGCAACAAAGAACAATTGTAAAATAGTGTTTTAAAGAAGCATTTTCTTCTACTGCCAATATTAAAATACTTTGTAAAAATGCTTTATATACGTCATAAAATCTCAATACTAACAATTTATTTTAGAAATGTTTCTTTTTACCTTAGGTTTAATGTTCTCCAGTTCTCCATTTTTTAGTCTCCACAAAACATGTCTTGTTGTATCTCCACCAATTCCAAAATTCAGTGCATGAAGAGGAGAAAAAAGTTCTCGCCATATCTAAAAAGAGAACATACTCTATTTAAGTCAAAATTAGTGGGAGATAAAATGGTTCCACTGCAATGTGCTGTGAGGCATTTAACAATACCAATTCTTACTTTCTGTAGTCAAATCTAACACTGCAATTGGTGTGCCACTCACTGTTTAAAGGACTTTAAAAAGCCATTGTGCAAGTCAGCTCTTAATTAGTACTAGGTCTCAGCTTGGGAACTGAGTCACAACTCAACCTGATGCCCCTTGAGAAGTACTAACATTTATAATTAAGTTGGCACTTTAACAGAGCCCTCTTTTCCCTTTATTCAAGAACTTAAAGAAATAAGGTGAACTAGAAAGATGAGATGAAGATATTTAGAGTATTGGAGCCAAAAAGGAATAAAGCTATCATTTCTTTTCAATTCCCCTCAGAAGAATGCTTAATGGAGGAAGAACTGAATCACAAAAATACTTATGAAAGTGGTAAAGGGCAAATAATAGTAACTGAAAATTAGGATTAGGATACACACAAATACTGTATCAGGTAAGTAAGAGAGCTTAGTTATAAAACAATGCTAATTCTTTTATTTGCCTCATGTTTAGTCACACACACACCCCCATTAGGTAGTACGACTTCTCTTATACTCTGAAGTTTTCCAAGAGTCCTTAATGATCATGTAGCATGAGACTACAGACTCAAAGTAGTATGAAGCTGTAAGTGATTTATAAATATTAGTAGCCAAAAGCCACTGTCACTCCTTCTCCCTTTACCTCATATTGTTGCATTAATTGCACCATGGAGTCTCCCACAAATAGTACATCAGGCTCTTTGTCTTTACAGTCCAGGACAAATCTGTTGTGCTGGTTTGGAAAAGAAAGGAAAATTAGAAACTGGCATTTCTTTTCCTGTGAGATTCCCTAACCTAGCCACATCAATTGTCTAACCAGCTATTCTATTGTCAATCTCTCAAAAATTTTTGTTTTTAACGTTCTGTCCCTAATACCCATTTCTCTGTACAATTAATTGCGTTCCACTCTTTCCATACTAACCATGCTAATACACTCAAGAAAACCAAGACTTTAATAAAAAAAATACTTTTAACACATTTCTTTAAAAGTTTACCTTGCCTCTCAAATTTTCAGATCTATACAAAACTTTTTCAAGTAACAACAAAACCTGTAAACTCATCACTTAAACTCAACAGCTAATAACATTTAAAAAATTTGTTTTCTCAAGGGAGCTCGGGTGGCCTAGTGGCAAGAAGCTGTGCTGCAATCCCGAAGGCATGCAGTCTGAATCCCTCAGATGCTCTGCTGGAGTTGGAGGGGCAATCTCCTCCTGTGCCAGTTGGATCCAATACAATGGTACACAACAATTAAACAAAAAAAAAATTGTTTTTTCTATGTATGTTTGTTGAACTATTCAAACGAAGAATAGCCTTGATTTTTTATCCCTAAAAATTTTAGCAAGCACATCACCTAAAATTGAAGATACCATATAAAACCATAAAACTATTACTATACCTAAGAAAAGGTACGGTACAGATTAAATCTTTCTCAAAGAGATGTTGAAGAGAATTAAAGTTGTTCCAAGAGAGGAACCACAGCTATGTTTTAAATCTAGGACTCAATCAAGATTCACTGGGATCTTTTCAATATGGGTTTTGAAAGTGTCTATTAACCTTCAGATATAAGACAATGGCAAACAATTCAAGCATTTTCAGATGAATGCATGATATCACACTCTCTACTTTAAAGGCACAAGACACTTTTTTTATCCCATAAAGATATAAGCTGATATATTATGTAACACTTTAGGCAACACATGGAGCCTTGATGGCATAAGTCATAACATTATCAGACTGCTGATTAGGTTCACAGTTCAAACCCACCAGTGGCTCCTGAGGAGAAAAATGGGCAGTCTTCTCAAAGAGCTGTTAAGAATTGGAAGCGAGTTGACAGCAAAGAGTATAGATTTGTTAATGTGTCTAATCAAGTCTAAAAACTGTGAATGTGGTTTTCCCAAACTCTAGATTTCAGCTAGGCTTCCTCTAGGAACTAAGGTTTCTCTTAGGTGCCATCTAGTCGATTACAATGCACAGCAACCCTATGAACCACAAATGTGAACCCTGTCCTATCCTGTGCCATGCTCACAAAACTGACACACTTGAGCCCACAGATGCAGTCACTGTGTCAACCCATCTCACTGAGGGTCGTCTTCTCCTTCGCCACCCCTTTATTTTTCTAATAAGCATGATGTCCTTTTTCCAAGGAAGAGCCTCTAGCAACATGCCCAAGTATGTAAGACAAAGCTTTGTTATCCTTGCCTCCAAGGACCATTCTAGCTGCACCTTCTCCAACACCTATTTGTTCTTTGGGTAGACCATGAGATATTTAGCACTCATTCTTAACACCACAGTTTAAATGAATCAATTGTTTGTCCTCCCTAGTCACTGTCCAGCACTCAGCAGCATAGTAAATGACTGGGGGAAAAAAACACCAAAAAACATAGTCTGAATCATGAGCCCCTTAATTTTCAAACGAATATCACTGGAGAAGTCACTGCCGGCAGAATTTCCCAGTGCAAAACATCTCCTGATCTCCTGACTGTTGGTATCAAATGAACTGATTTTGAATCCAAGTAAGAGGAAGCGGCTGACAGTTTCAATCTTAATTAAGGAATTAAGGTAGAGCTACAATTTAAATATCTCTTAATAAAAAGCAGCTGGAGTATTTATACACTACAGATGGAAGACAAGACAAGGATGGTGCAAATTTTTTTAAAAAGATATATGCACACCCATGTTTATTGCAGCTTTGTTCACAATAGCAAAGAGCTGGAAACAACCCAAGTGCCCATCAACAGACGGAGAGAGAAGCTCTGGTGTATTCACACAATGGAATACTACACTGCATTGAAAAACAAGGAACTCATACAATATTATTCAAAATGGGTGACCTTGGAGGACATTATGCTGCGTGAAATATCTCAGTCACAAAAGGACAGGTGCTGCATGGTGCCATTACTGTAGAATGGGACTGACATCAGGGTTGGGGTGAGACTGAGAAAAATTGGATAAATTACGTATACTGCATTGTAACAGAGGAGGGAGAGAACTGTTTGAAAGCAATATATGATTGGGTATTATGGTTATGACAAGAGTCCAGAATGAAGGTTGCACAGTGGAGTATATTCGGGGCTGGAGGGGGAATTCTATACCAATGAAATAATTTTTCTTTTACTTTTCAAAGAGAAGTGCGAACTGGGGAGGCAGGGTTGGCAGGGAGAAAAATGCAACAATGAATGTATGGAAATCCAAAATCTCTGTAAATGTTCATTAAAATTCATTTTTAAAAAAAAAAAAAAGTTAGAGGTTCAGGCCCACCCAGCCCAGTGCTCAGGGCTCTCTGCTCTGGTGGTGGTGATGGGAACTACATTCCTTCCTGGGCCACCTCAGGCTGCTCCATTCTCACTCGTAGGCAGGGCAGATGACAAGACCCCCAGGCCAGAAGGTTATCTTGAGGGAAGGATGTTTCCCTGTAGTCTAGCAAGGTCCGAGCTGCACACTCAATGGGGCTGCTGTAGGTTTCTGGCTATTAGGACTGTGAGCATGGATGCGGTAGCTGAAGATGTAATGTGAAACTCCAAACAGCCTTGACAGGGCTTTAGGCACCTTGAGGCTGCTGGTGGGTGGGCCCTGCTGGCTCTGGTGATGCTGCTATCCTTTGTCAAATGATTCCAATGATAAGAGGAGCCACTACCCAGCTGCGTTCTATCAAAATATCACATTCGAGCCAGAACTTTCTAGTTCTTACCTGAAGAGGCCCCTAGAGCTCCTTGGAAATCATCCCCTTGACATTTCTGGGGGCTCGTCTAGGACAGAATTTCTCCCCCCCCCCCTTCAGATTTCTCTTTAACTTTGTTGGTTCCATCAATTCTTTTTTTTTTTTTAATTTTATTTTAATGAAAGTTTATAAAGAACTTGGATTTCCATTCATTCATTGTTGTACATCTCCTGTCCCTTCTCCCCTCCAGTTTGCTTTTTCTTTGGAGAAAAAAGTTCTTTCCTTGTTATTCAGTCCCCCTTCCCCCGGACAACTTTACTATGAATCTCCTATTCTGGACTCCTGTCATGTCAGTAACACCTAATCATATGCTCCTTTTATATGGTTTTCTCCCTCGTCTGTTTCAATGCCAAGTACATTATTTATTCCCTCTTTTCTTAGTTTCCCCCAAACCCTTTATCAGTCCTGTTCTGTAACAGTGGCATTACACAGTAGTTGTCTTTTTGTGACTGAGATATCTTACTCAGCATAATATCCTCCGTGGTCACCCATTTTGTATAATATTTCATGAGTTCTTTGTTTTTCAGTGGTGCATTATATTCCATTATGTGAACATACCACAGCTTCTCTATCGATTCGTTTGTTGATAGGCACTTGGGCTGTTTCAAACTCTTTGCTACTGTGAACAAAGTCGTGATAAACATGGGTGTAAGGAAAAAGTGCAATAATGAATGAGTGAAAATCCAAAATCTCTGTAAATGTTCATGAAAATTAATAAAATTAAAAAATCAAACAGAAAAAAAACCATGGTGTACACAGGATAGAATTTCTGAGGCCTCTTGACCACCGAGAGCCTTTCTGCAGACTGTAGCAATTCCATGTTAAAATGATGCCCCACCAAGGATATGAACCTATGCTCCTAAGCACAAATGATTGCAGTGCATCTACTTTCCAAAATCAACTGTCAAAACTGTAGACACGTCTCTTATTACAAAAGGGGCCCTTTGGAGTAGTGAGAGATTTTTTGACCTAGAACCTACAATGATGCTTTTTCAGAAGGAAGTAGAAATCTCTCTTGGGGGGAGCGACAGGGAATGGCTTGCCAATCAGAAACTCATCTTAACAATGATGTGTGACTATGGCAATATAATACAATAACAGACTCATTAAAAAAATAAAATTAAAACCTCAGTTTCTTCTTCTTGGGGGTAGGGGGAATGGATGTCAGAGGTTCAAATCCACTCAAAAGCAACTTGAAAGAAAGGCAACGTCATCTATATCTGAAAGAAATCAGCCCTGGAAAACTGATAAAGTAAGAAAACAAAAATCAGGTAGGTTTCTATTCATCAGCAACAAGAAATATGAAAGTAAAATTAAGGAAATTATTTCATTCTTAAGAGCATCTAATAGAGTAGAAAAATATCCAGAGACAAATCTGACCATAGATAGACTGAACACGACTTAAATAAATGGATATTCTATATCCATGGAAAGAAAATGCAATGTCAATACTATTGAAAGCAATGATCAGATTCAACAACATCTTGACCAAAATTCCAACAGCCTTCTTTAATAAGTGGAAAAACAATACTAACTTTATATATATCACAAGACCTTGAATAGCTAAAGCAACAATGAAAGGGAACAAAGTAGGACTCACACCTAGTGATTTTAAAACATAGTATGTTGTTGTTGTTAGACGCCACTGAGTTGAGTACGACTCATAGTGACCCTATGAACAAAAGATCTGAACCTAGTCCTATCCTGTACCATCCTCACACTTCCTGATACACAACAGCCCATTGTAGCAGTCATTTTGTCATTCCAGCTGGTTGAAGGTCTTTCTCTCCTTCACCGACCTTCCACCCTTCCCAATATCATGTCCCTCTCCAAGGAAAAGCACCTCCTAGCAATATTTCCAAACTATGTTAAGTGAAGTATGTTAGCCTCATCATTCTTTCCTCCAAAAAACACTCTGGCTGCACCCTCTCCAAGACATATCTACTCATTTTCTTGGCCATCCATGGGATGTTCAGTATTCTTCTCCAACACCACAGCTCAAAGGCATCAATTCT